TAAGTCATGTAAATTTGCTTATTTACACATAAGAGAATAACAATATAGCCACTCAAAGAAAATACAACACCTGGAGAGTGAAAAAATAATGTAAATAAATGAAAAAAAAAATGCAATTTTATCCCTCACCTGAATGGTCTGGATCTGATTAGAGGGTATTGTGCTGGTAAAGGCAGAGTTATTACTGGAGAAGACACCTGCTGTGCTGACCGTCCCAAACACCGGGGTGACGGTCAGACTTCTGGAGGAGGTCAGCTGGGGGGTCACCTGGCTGCCAAAACCACCACCCTGGATACTGGTGCCCTGGAGAAAAGAGTTTATCATTGTCAGCTTAAAGTGATACCTTTTACACTGATCATACCCATGATAATCAAAATTGTATGAAACATTATGATATGCTCCCAAAATCTGATGTCCCATATTTGGGAAAAAAGAAGTTTGTCTTTGTGTGTCTCAAAATGTTTATTTGTCAAATTTGTCAAATAAAAAAAAAAAAAACTTTAGGGACTTACCACTTGCAGGGAAGCCTGATCTATGTTGAATGTCATCAGTTCATCAGTGAGTACCATACCCTGGCTGAGCTGAGCAAGAGGGGAGGGAGGAACTGTGCTGTACTGGTTCTGAAAGGTGGCAAACTTAACAGTCACATGATGGTCACATGACATAGAATATTTATCTTTAACTGCAATACATGTTATTTTCCAGATATGATTTGGCTTGTAAAAATTAAAGTAGGAATAACAGCTTGGTGGCCTTATGAATGGGAATTTGGGTCCTACTTAAAAAAAAAAAGAGAAAATTGCCACACACACACAAAAAAAAAAAAAAAAAAAAAAAAAAAAAAAAAAAAAAAAACTAAGCCACATCTCATTTCCACAGAAACAGCTACACAAAGACATGAACTTTTGTATGCTGAAAACGGGCGAGAAAAAAACTCACTTGTCTATTCAGAGTGTGCTGCACATTAGCAGTAAAAGCGCTGTTATGGCTGGTCCCAGGGAGCTGTGTGGGCCGATGGCTGACCTGCTGTGGAGAGCAGCGCACCTGTTTGTGACTGACAAATGCTGACAGGGAGTTGAACTGCTTCTTGCATTTCCCACACTGGAACATGTCGTCTTCTTCAACTATAAAAAGATAAGAAAAATTTTAGCCATCTCCTTCAAAGATAAAAAAAATGTATCTTTGATAATAACATGTTTCTGATTCTTGAATCATTGAAACATTCCCTGGCTATTCTTTGGTTATTAAAATCAAATGCAAGTACTAGTAAAGTATCCCAGAGGTCCTTCAGTTAACAGGGGTAAATAATTAATATTTATTTAAATCAAAAACACTGATTAGAAAACACATCCAATATTGCAGTTTTATAAACAATATAACAATAACGAGTGAATGAACTTATAAGCTAAAGCAGACATTGATTGAGAAACGAGCACTGTATGGAAACAGCTGAGGGCTTTTCCCAGAACTGTGGATACAGGCCGTCCAGAATTACCACTAGTAATTTCCTACAAAGTTTCAGGGAGTCAAAGTGTGCCTAAAGCCTTCATATTTCCAAAAAAAACGTCCAGCCGTCTTTGAAATTATAGACTGTCTGGTGATGTTGGCGGCTGTCCAAATGATGGCTGGACAGGTCGCTGGGAAAACCCTTCATAGAAATAACCAATGCTTGTATGGCAACAAAAGTGCTCCCCCCCCCCCCCATGACTCTACACTTACCAGGCACCTGCTGCTGTTGTTGTGATGTTGCCTCGGCGACTCCTTGGGACTCCAGCAATGACTGGACAGCCAGAGCAGTCTGACTGTCCATGGTCACCCCATCTGGAAACAACAAAGAAATTGACATTTAGATTTGTTTCTTTTTTTTAAAGGTTTCTCTTATAACAAAATAGGTGAAGACCACCCTGACTTACTTGAAACAGTAAAGGTATGGTGTAGTGTTTAAGGTTCAAGTTATCCCTGAAGCTCAGGGTGGGTGAGGACTAGATTGCCGTAGTTTTTAAAATTTCTGTACTTCTTTCAAGATTTAATTTGATATCATTTTAGCGCACCTATTGTAAGGCATATTGTGATCTCTATCGAATGTGCCAAGGGAGAAACTATTAACATTATGCATCTCTCATGCTTAAGTTTTAACCTATGGAATCTATTAATATTAGGAGGTATATATATATATCACTAACTTATGAGATGAAGAAATGCAATAATCATATTATCTTGGAGTCCTTAAAAACTTTGTTATACTTTCTAACCCTGATTCTAGCCAGTTCCAAAGAATGAAATGGCACATAACAATTAATGATATTAAGTCCACCTTCTCCCACTTGGGAAAATGGACAGTCACATTCTTTGTGCTATCATTAACCTATAAGTTATAATGAATCAATAATAATAATAATAATAATAATAATAATAATAATAATAATAATAATAATAATATTTTTGGGGGGTTAATATGATGGGATGGGTTCTACAGTAAATGGGAGTTGAAGTTTTGATATTTATAAAAGATGTTACTTTTATGCAGTGACATAGATTATTGAAAGAAATATGAAAACTAAGACTTAAAAGCCAATTAACATGAATTAATTCTGCCTCTAGGTTAAAAAATAAATTCTGTCCTTTGAGAAATTAATGAAACTGCAAAACTTACAGAGGGTTTAGAGGGTTTGATGTTTGGACAACGGGTTCACTTTACTTTCGAATTAATTTGTAAACTTGAGACTGTTAAGTTGAGATTGTAAAGACAATCATAAACAAGACAATGAAAACTAGTAAGTTCATTCAGCTTCTACCCCTTCTGCTTTGCATATGATGGGGGAAAAAAAAGGGGGATATGACTTCCCCCTCAAAATTAAATTAAAAAATTGATTTAAAAAATGAAAACTAATCCATCTGCAATTTTTGTCTTAAAGTCCGAGAAGGGCCTGTATTGTAGGTTGGGACCACAAGTATGATCAAGCAGTAAAGTTATGAGAAAGCAACAGCCAACACTGAAGCTTGACTAAAATAGAAAAGGGGGGGGAAATGACTGCAAAATCCACAACATTCAGAAGTAAATTTAAACTGATGCCATGTGAACATTTTCGCAGCACAGACATAGACAGCCGTGTGAAAATGGTATGTAATCAAAGTCAGAACACTTTTATCGTATTTTCTTCGCCGGTGTGAGAACAAACCGACCGTCACGTCTTGTTTATCGCTGTGCCGTTCTCTCACTCCCACCCCGGCTGTTCCGACGAATTGACTGTCCTTATCTACTGATCTGTCCCCGTAAATTATTTTTCTGCACTATCAATCAAACGTGGACATGAGTAAAATCGAACGCCATTGCGCTGAATTGTCATTATCTCGTAGATTATACCCGCAAAAATGACCTTCTCAAATAAATTTTACGATTTCCTTCATATCTTGCCGCTTTGTGGATTGTTTAAAGCAAAGCTAGTTTAAAGGTTTCTTCTGGGCCACGTGAAATACACAAAATGATAAAACAGTCCAATCTCTTTAATATTTGTGGATTTCAAATCATGGTGATCAATCCATCTTATTTTAAATAAAATTATACTCACTCGCCAGGGCCTCGAATAATGCTTGCGCCATTTTGTCTTGTTCGCAACTGTCAAAATACCCGGATGTCGTTGCCAGAGTGCTACAGGTGCGACATGACAGCGCAACTAATGCATAAGCTACAGCACCAGCGCAAGAGGAATGGAAGTCCTAGGAATGAAAGTCCGGGCTCCCGTATGATTACATGTAGTACAGGTTAGCTTTAGTTGAAATATTGAGGTTAGTATATGGGACGAATGTCACCTGTACAAAGTAAAGGAAAGTGGACTACGGTGCCTAGCGGACTTCCATTTCTGTTCCGGTGTATTGCTTCAACTTTTCAAGTAGGCCTATTATGAATCCATATTCATGAATGATGTATTCCCAACACAATCTGAGACAACTAGTTGGTTATTCATTTTTTTTTTAATTTGATATCTAAAATAGGAGAGAAAGGCGTTGAATAAGTCCATCAGCAATGTATTTCTAAAAGAATTTTCCCCAGTATCAAGAGTAGAAAAACAGTTAATTATCCAAACGACTTGTTTAAAAAAAAAAAGAACTTGCCTTTATTGTACACTATTTTATCCAAAATTGTGACAAATCAATAAGTTATTTCGGCAATTTGATGTGCTTTCATGATCTACCACGTTTAGTTTATTCAACAGCAAATTATATCCCCATTATAGAAGGATTCATATACAGTATTTATAAGACAAGAGCATCTCGTCCCCTGCATGTCGTGCGTGAAAGTTGGAAGGGTTACGATGAATGTCTGCCAAGCAGTCGATCTGCGTTCGATGACAATTTTTTTTTATAAGGGCATCTCACTTACCCCAACCGCCAACCTAGGGAGATATAAAATAATGCGCTTCTGACATTTTAATGAATGATTAGTAACGCAATGGCACGAAGTCGACTGAATATCAAAATGTGGATCCAGGAAATCCGCTCTTCTGAAGCGTAGGGAAAGAAAACAGGTCAACGGCGTGTTGCGATGGAGTATATTGTTTCAAGCAGTCGGTTCCCGGTCCTCGCAGGCTTGTCTTTTTATAGACTTTCTCACTCAGAACCCCCCCCCCTACCCCCCCCCTTCCCCCCATTTAAGTAAAGGTTAATGCATTTGCGTTTGAACGTTTCAATTTTATGCATCGGGCCATCGGGCGGTTCACCAAATGTCACTAAAATAGGGACATTTAATAGCTCAGCACCCGTGCATGTGCCATATTTTATGGGCACATTTAGACATTAACGCCAGGATATGTAGTTACTCATAGCTAGAATCCAAAATATCTATCTTGGACCCTAGCTCACAACAAAACAGATTTGTGGCTGAATCGCGAATATTGACTGTGAACGGAAATTTGCGTTATAACATGGTCATTCCGTTAAGTTTGTATACAGTATATGAATCATTATTATTATTTTTTTTACAAAATTCTAGTCGATGACTCTTCGAAGATCGTTAAACAATATAATCCGTCCGAATATTAACGCAAGTATTTTAACGTTCTATCTGTGTTTTGTAAAGCACCTACTCACTACGCTTTTTAGAGCACAATACAGTTCTGGAGAGAAAAAAGATTTTATTACAAAAACAATTTCTGTATATAAAAGTTTGTTTTTAAATAGGCCATATGAATATTTTAAAAATGCTTGTCATATAGGTAGAACTTTGAATATCAAGTGCATTCGTGGTAATAAAAACGTAAATACACTGTTAAAAACAAAGTCGCACAAAGTTGTGGAAATGCATTGATACTGTCACTGGTGAAAGAAATCTGACATTGACGACCAATAAAATAAAACTGGTGCTTGGACGTTGGATTTATCCAATGAAAGTCCTCCGAATCTTCTGTGCGGACTACAGATACGCCACATCCGCAGCGATCACAACGGAATTCTGAAAAGAAATGAACGGACATGGACACCAGTGACGAAAATATATTTTTGATTTTCCATTTAATGATTGCATTAATTTTGCAAATTAAAGGCTTTAAATAATAATAATAAAAATAATTATAAATAATAATAAATAATAATAATAATAATAATGTCAGTAACCATACCTGCATTAGTTCCACACTCGGGTTCACAAGTTTGACGTTGTCTAATTTTGTAATTGGTAGTCCCCGATTTCCAACATCTGCAATAAAAATTACACATTGCTCTTTTTAACATCACGATACAATGCAATGCAATGAAGTGTGACATCTAGGTAACTTAACAAGATAAAAAAATGAACTAATAGTCTAAGTATACAAGTGCACCACTTGTTCTTCTCAAAATTTCAATTTTTAAATTAAAATTAGATATTATTCCCATTAAAACATACACTACTTTGAGAAACACCAAAGAGAAAAGCAAATATATATATATATATATATATATATATATATATATATATATATATATATATAGGGGCCTATTACAAAGACGTGTTCCCTGAACATGCAGGCCCTACATACCGTTAAGCTTTGGTCTGATGAACGAGTTGAGAATGATGTTTGCAACAAAGTCTAATCCTTTGGTCTAAAAGTAAAAAGCCAGAAACAAATATTAAGACCCGAATAAACATCTCTGGAACAGTAATACCAAATTGCTGGACAGTCGGGTTACCGGATCATCGGAACATGGACCAGTCGTCGGATATTTGGGAACTGACCACCGGGAAATCAACCCGCTCGTTTACGATCAAGTTCACTGATGAGTTTCATCGGTACTTATTTTTTTCTATTTTAATTCAAATACTTCTCTCAGTTAAAAGATTCTGGTTCACATTAAACATTTATTTCAAACCATTTTAGTAGTCACCGTTGAGTACTTTAAAATCAACAGCCACCCACCAGCATCCCCCCTGCCAACTTAAAATACATGTTTAGGCTACTAGAGGGAATACACGTTGACATACCGTTATCGGGCCGATAGTGCTGTCTTTAACATCGAACTGTATCCTGAAAACAAGAAAATATTAATGTGTAATTAGATTCTCTTTGAAAAAAAATACACAGTTACGTATGACAAAGCGTTCGGGCTTCATGTGCGTCTGAAACTGTGAGATTTTATTGAACTCCGGTGCTAATAATGTACATGTTTCAAGCATCTAGATCAATTCGAACACATATTTTAGTCTGAACTTTCCTGTGATGCAGAAAAGTTAATTAAAGTTAAAATCCACTATACATACGGTTTAAACTAAGGCTGAAAACGAATCAAAACAACAAAATTGTTTCGACTTTAACACGGCCACAATTCGAAAGTAAATGTTTCATATCATATGGAACTAATTTTTGTCAGGCACTCACCGTGAAGGCCCCACATTGGCCGCAAGATTGTCTCCGCGCACAGATATATTCAGAGATACATTCAGCGTCTAAAGTAAATAAGAAACGTGACAGTCATCAAACAAACATTCAGGCCTCATAAACATTTGATTCATAACTCAGTACAGTCATAATTTCAGATAAACTGACATCCGTTTATGTTTGCGTGTTTAATAAATAAATTAATTTGATCCGCCCAGCATTCAAAACACCCTGTAAATTGTGGCATTCTTATGACAAAGCAACTTTGATAGCGTGAGTAACTAGGTACTTCCAACACCTGTCATAAACCTTACATTATGTATTCATTACATTAGGATTGTGATTTCGTGCAATTGTTATACTGTCTTGGAATGACTTTGACGTGGATTACAGTGTTTAAGGTTCACTTCATTTACATGTTGCAACAGGGCGGAAAATGTGACATCAATTACAGCAAAACTGAATAATATAAATCTAAAATTCAATAAAATTAACATAATAAATAAATAAACAGATACATAGGTAAGTAAATTAACAAATAACTAATCAAATTACCGACAAAGCTGTGAACACGTAAATGTTTTTCGGCTGCTCCGGGTGCTTCACATAAAACCGCATATCTCCTCGAAAGTGTCCCGAGATTTTCCCAGCCGTCACAGAGAGGGTTGGGGGCTCCGTGGTCCGCAGGTCCATAGATACGGTGCAGTTGGGGAACTTTTCGCCGACCTGTGGTGTATATCAAATATCAAAGAAATAACATTTTGTAGTCTGCTATAAAGACAAAAAAAGTAACTTCGTCCACAGTTTGTTTAATTTTACAGACAGACATAATAATATTTCACAGCCGTTTCTTTCTCCAATGAGAAATTGTGACGATCTTCGTGCGGAGGACTATCTTTCTCATTTTACCAAGTAAAATTGATACTTTCCGAAGACTAATTTTAACAGTGTATCTATAATGCGAGAGAACCAGGAGATATAAAAATGGAAGGCACGAAAAAATTGTATCCCCAGTCCCCAGTCCCCAAAAATGGAAATGAAACATATATATTATATGAAACATGTTTCTTAGAGGGACTCACTTTACCCTTTTGTAAAAATGAAGGGACTATTAAATAAAAAATAAATCAAATTTGAAAGTGCCCCACGCAAGCCCCCTGGATCTGACTTTGCTATCTGAGTCCTTACCTGGGGCACTATTCTTCCCATGCAAGTTTTCTCTCCCTCACAACTGGTTTTGAAGTAGTGGCGCTGATCTTCAGGAACCTGAAGAGAAGGTAATGTGTACAGCAACTGCAAAACTTAAAAAATGTACAAGCTGAGAACATATTGTGATTTTCATTTCTAGATTGGTCAATTTTAAATCTGTTCTATTTCCAACACCGTGGACCTCCCACCCACCCACCCGATGGATACAAATACCGGTATGGTAACACACAGATGCACTTGCATGCGCGCACGCGCGTGCGCGTGCGCTAACACACACATACTTACGTCTATACTAGTCAGGTAATATCTCAGCAGGCCATGTTTGTGTAATACGTATCCAGCCGTGTTCATGACGTACTCCGACATCTGGACGTACACCATCCGGGTACTGCTCGCTATTTCCGGCATGTCCGGCGCCTCCACGGGCGGGTCAGTCTTATCAGTGGTCCACCTCAATAATCCCTTTAACAAAAATTTGTAATGTTTTCCATAATAACGCTACACAAATCACAATAACTATCACTGGACTTTATTCACCAATTTATATTTTTTCCTTGTTTTATTTGATAGGGCCTAAATGTTGAAGTATGGTGTTCTATATACTTGTTCAGCAATTTCCTACGATATGATGGTGCATAAATGTGTACGTCCATAGAAAGCATGTGCGTGCCTCAGTATTTTGTAGGCCCAGTATTTAACAAAACATGAAGTAGTGAGGTGCAAAAGCGTGCCGATTTTGTCTTAGCATTTTTGCCTATGGCAGTGTGCACCTAAAACTTAAGTGTTTGCAGATTACATGTCTAGAATTGCGTTTCGAGAGGACAGACTGCAAGACAAAAGAGGTTGCACATGACGTCACATAAATGAAATGACGTCACATGTCTCACCTTGTGAAAGGACTCCACATAACCAGTATGAAACTGTGGCGGCTGAATCAAGCGGTAGTCTAGTTCAAGGTCATTACCGACTTTGGTGGTCACTTTAATAAATAAATAAATAAATAAAATTAATATATATAAACAATATAATTTATGCTTATATCTTATACATATCTCTAATATAAGGTGGCACATTTATATAAAATATATTTTCTTACAAGTGATTTTATCACAAGGCAACAGAAATAAGCCCCGTTTAAAATGCAAAGAGGTGGTTGGAAAGGCTCTTTCAAGCTTTTTTTCTGGAGAACGTCTTTAATGTACTTTTAATTTAGTAAAATGGCATCAAATATAAATATGACGTTCTTGTTCGACTTCACTAATTAGACTATGCATACAACTTCATGTATTTATCATTTGGTTGACGCCCCTTTATCAAACCTATTTGTTTATTAGATTGAAGATAAAACATGCAAAATATTGCACGCATAAAAAAATCCAATGCACTGCTCATAGCAAAAAAGATGTTTACATATTTCTCATCAATATTTTAGATCTAGGTTTGTGTTGACAAACCGTAATGATGGTAGACGTACCTTTTAAGTTTGCTAAATGTCTCTCTGCGTTGTTGTCGATTTCCTTTCTCGCGGCGGGACAGAGCTGAAAGGAAAAACGCAGAGCTACATTTATAAACGCCGTTAAATTTTTTCGATGGCAAGGCAGATACGAGGAAATTTACCTTAAGTCAAAGAACAGGTACAGAAAAAGCAATAGGCCTATATGTACAACTTATTATAGTTCTGGTATTTTAAGCAGAACATAAACGAGTATTTATATATTATTCCATTTTAAGGGAAAAAAGTTAGTAAAAGTAACAAAGGAAAGCATGTTTTGGATAAATCCATTTCGATTTAAGAGTATTGTCCGCCTATTCTCGCTGAAACATCAAAGAAGGCTGTCGTGAGTAGTAAACTACGTACCAAGCTGCTAACTTTTTCCTTAATGGGACGTTCAATGGAGCCACGGAACAGATTGTACAGCCAACTGGCGCCTCCGTGGAGTGTGACACGGACGCTTCCAAGACCGGCATTGCACTGCCTCACGGCAATGCTTGGTCTGCCGTTGAAATCTTTACCTGTGGTGGATTAAAAGGTATGTATAATGTTTCAAAGTGTACGCTGTTAATCATATTTATCTTAAATTTGTCCATGGAATTTAATCACACGAAATTAACCTGGGTATATCAGTATATACACGTACATGTACCTTCACGCCTATGTTAGAAGGCCTAGATAGAGATCTAGAGCAAACAGAGAGACAGGCAGACAGACAGACAGACAGACAGACACAGATAACAAACAAGAGGGAGAGACAAGTTTATGGACATACCAAGACCAACAGCCAGCTGGAAGTCAATACCATCAACTGAAATGTCGAACGAACCATGGTCGCTGATTTTAATCCTGTTATAAATTGGCAAAAAAAAAAAAATGTGTGATTAAAAAAAAAAGAAAGAAACTGGCGTATTGATATATTTATTAAATAGTTGTGAATATACACAAACAATAACACATTGAAGGTCAACTCAAAGGCATAGCTAGCGACTTATTGGCGCTCAATGCACTATGAAACAGACCTGGTCATTTTTAATACTTTTCTCTTAATATCCAAAGTTAATTCCGCTTTCTTCGTTTATTCTATTCATTTAAAGTACTGCGTTAAAATACGTGTACGATATCCGTGCCCGTGATTTTTTTAACATTTATTCATCAGCATCTCTCGCTAATATAAGACTTCTATTTCATTCTTTACAAGCAATAATGATATTTTTATATAAATTATAAAAAAGGTTGTTAACCACAAACACCGCCTTTGACAAAAATAACCTATCCACAAAGTAAAAAATAGAAAGATTTGAAAGTCAACGAAATACTAAACAGCCAACCGATACGTTTAAACAACTAAATGATTTCAATTTTCTTCTTGTGCAGGGGCGGATCCAGGATTTTTTGAAGGGGGGTCCGCAGCCCCCCCACCCCCGGTCCTGCCCCCCCCCCCCCTCACCGTCGCCCCCCCCCCCTTCTAAATCCGCCACTGTTGTGGCATTTCAGACAACCGTCTTTGAACTCACCATCCGCGACTTTTGTATCTCCAGTCTCCATGAAGTTGAATGTGCCCCCCAGATGTCCGCCACCCCAGTCCACTTCCGGGTAACACTGACATATGAGACTGGGGGCGATTGAATGCTGTTATCTGGAGACTGAAATTTCAATTTTCGTTATCAATAAAATAAATAAAGTGGAACATGGTCAAAACGAGCAGAAGTGCACTGTTCTTTCAGTGTCGATAGCAGGTCCTTACTAAAGTGATAGAATATTACACATTTATTTCGATTTTATAATTGAAACCAAATGGCGTGAAATGTTTGTGACCCTTTGCGTTGTAAGAGAGAGAGAGAGAGAGAGCAGTATACTTCGTAATATCATAATCGATCTTCCCAATTCCGACGTCTGCCGTCCCATGCTGGTCATCGATATGGGTCCCTGCGATCTTGCGACCTAAGTTGTCTACAAGTGACTTCTCAGCTGTAAAAAGATACAATGAATTTATTCTGAGATTTGAAATAATGATTTTTTTTTTTTATCGACATGACTTTTGTCTGGTCGAAAGACGTCGTGATCTACATGTCTCGATCGCTCACAACGCACAAGTTACGTTTTTTTTCTTATTTCATTATTCTATATATTCAATTCATTTCACAAAGACTGCTCTCTTAACTGTGTCCTGTATCATTTTCTTCAATAAATAGAACCGATGCATAGAATTTGTCAATAGAGTTATATACTAGCGAATTCATCTCCATACGAAAGTAATAAGGAGAAATTATCAGCATTTATTTTCATTTTCATTTTGAAATAAGCGGTCGTCTTTTACAGTCAAAATCATCCGGGAAAAACTATTAGAAAATATAGAACAACAAGATATGTACAAACAAATTAACCCAGAGGAGCAAATTGCGCCTGAGGTTCAAGGAGCGTCACTACCGCAATTGATTTTATAACGGCGTAGTGCATATTGTGTACCCTGCGTGTCAGGGCACTATAAAGCTAGCTTACTCGCTATACCTTTCCATGTGTTAGCTTTACAGCTTTACTATTACTGACGTGGTTATATATATGAAATCAAGATCAAGCTGTCAATACCAAAATCTAGTAGGCTACCTAGGTAATATTGTGCTAAGCAGCAGTGAAAACCCATGTCTTTCACTTTGACCTATCGCGAATCTTGAATCACACTATACCAAATTAAATGGTGTTTACATCATTTCTAATTTGCCTGCCACATGAAAAGATTACTCACCAAAGTTAAGTCCAACTTGGGTGATTCTCACTTTTAAGCCAGGATTGACTGCCTCCCCTACCTTGACACACCCAATCAGCCCAACAATGATAATGACTGCGATGTTACTCGCCAAGAAAGCCATCATGTCCTATGAGAGGCACAATTTAAGGTTGGCCTATAATGATATGTCCCAATAGATAGTCAATAATAACCCGCACAGACGAAACAGATCAAACTTATGACTGACTGAATCAGCCAACCCGGAAGATGTCCCTATAAATACCGAAACTACCTGGGTCTTTTTAACAAGGAAGTGTGTCTCGTTCTGGAGAGTTTCTATTCGGCAAAATGAAGAATACAATAATTGTTACGACGATTTTAAAAACACGTGACGCCATTTATTTTGAAATTTCCTGTAAGCTCGAGCTCATTCCAGAGATAATTAAAAATTTCCACGCATTACATGTCACATTATGTGGCGAATACTTATGACATGAAACCGATGTTTTACCTACGTTTATTTGGGAAAATCCACGCACTTTTGTTTTTGCCATATATGCTTACCTGGGGTTTTACCTAAAGCTGGTAGGGGTAGCACATGCATAGACGCGAAAATTTCAGCCTAGATTCGTATACATGCTCTAGAAATTAGGGAAGTTAAAGATTAGGGAAGACATTCCTTCTCCCTTTGTGTCCGCAGATGCTACTGGTGGACAAAGCGAAAGCAAAAGCTCTTGGATTGAGGAAGGTAATTTCGTATTTGCCTGATAATGATCTTATTGAGACAATCTCGAAGAAAGAACATGTGGATTACACGGAAAGCTTCATTGGTATAAAAATGCACATGGCCAGGACGACACCAGCATGTCAGCCTGTCGTAAAAAATATCAATTTTGCCAAATATATTCCGTCAAATATATACCACAAATTTATTGCATTGTTTTGTGACGTGGTCTACCATGGACGTACTGTAGAGGGATTTTTTTTTCGCCAGCTATTTACAATTATTCCTCTGACTAATTCTGTGCTTGCAGTGAGTTTTTTTTTTATCTCATCGTCTGGGTGACCTCGAGTAATAATTAGCAGGGCCGTACTTTTTAATGAGCATCACCTTTATACGCGTAACTACACGTCAAAGCATTGCTTGACTAGGAATAAATCATCTCAAAACTCGGCACTTGATATAACTGCTTACTGCTTTAGCTAAAGTCTACTGAGTCACCTTAATTCCCTTTTTTCAATACGGTCAGAATTTTGGAAAATATTTTGACGGAATGCCCACGCAGTGGTTGATAATTATACCGTAACTAGCTGGATAATTATACAACATTTATTTAAATTATTTTTGATTAATCAAGTAATAGGAATTGGTGGTTAGATGAATGAATGGATTAATGCAAACATGGAGGAATTCATGAATATGTAGTAAGCGCTGTGTTTGACTTCTAGGGACTTTTGGTGCTTGGTCGCACGTGTACGACCTAAAAGCGTTAATTAAACTTGTAATACTTTATAGAAAACCGTGACCACATTTTATCCAAATTTGCATAACTTTGAGACGGTAAAAACATGTTATTCCTAATGGTCCAAGGTTACAACCTGCTCGCCCAAGATGACTTATGGTAATAGTGCATATAAATACGCCTTCCAGATTCATGTTTCAAGTTTGAGTGCGTATCCTGGAAAACTGCTTATTCCCCCCCCC